GGGCCCAGGGGCTCTTCAGTTAGCAGGTGATGAATGCTGACAGGACTGGGTCCTTACCTTCAAGGCAGTGGATTCCCTTCTGTCTAGGTGTGTCTGATTTTTGGCTCTTAGAAAGGTGTTTTTTTCTCTGTAGACAGCTGTTAACTTGGTATCCTTGTGCGAGGGGACGATTGGTGGAGCTTTCTGTTCTGCCGTCTTGCTCTGCCTTTCCTGCTTATATCAGATTTTGGCCATTCTAATATGTGTGTAGTGGTATTTCATTGTTGAGCATATTTTGCAATACGCCATGCATATTTTTCTACGGTTATCTGCTGTCTGTATATCTTCTTGGGTGAGGTATCCAGATCTTTTGCCCATTTTAAAATTAGGCTGTTTGTTTTTTGAGTTTTAAGATTTCTTTTTAAATTTTAGACAGCAATTCTTTATGAGGTATGTCTTTTGCAATTATTTTCTCCCAGTCTGTGGCTTGATTTTGGTTCTCTTGATGCTTATAATATTTAAAATATTTCAGCACTTGCAGGTTCACCTCCCTTCTTTTTAATGTTACAGTTGGATATTAATCCTTAGGAGTTTATCTATTTGTCATTCAACAAACATTATTCGGCTCCTACTATAGACAGGTCCTGTTTCTGAATACTGGAGATACACCAACTGCAGAACAGGCAAAGATGCTTCCTCTCAAGCCTCCAGTATTAGTCCTTTCTAAAAGTCAACTTTTTTTTTTCAGCCATTTCCATTATTTTTTCTCTTCTACTCCAATAACTTTTGCTTCCATATTTAATAATTTTGACTGTCTTCTTTTTAAATCTTTTCCTCATTGGTCCATCGTTTTCTGCAGATGAGTTGTAATTTCCCATTAGACTTATGGATAGGTCAGTATTTCCTCATAATTGTATCCATTTTCGTCTTGTTTATGTTATGTTATATTTATACAGGTCCACAACAGAGTGAAGTGCTTTTGATCATATGAAACACCCTCTTTGTCCTTGTTAATGCTTTTCAAATGTGATTTGGGGGAATACAGATATTCCAACCACATCTGGGGAGGTGGGTAGTATTTCCCTCATATTTTTCCTTCCTTCCATTTCAAACAAATAAAAATTTTTAGTCTTGGTGTATCTCTCATCAGTAGTATGTTGTTGGCTTTTCTGGAGTTTTTAAAAGTATCGACTTATCTCCTTTTGGGAATAGGTGACTGTAAATTATGTATCATGATCATATCTGAACTTGCTTGGGGCATGACAATTAATATTTCATATTTACCATAATTTTTCTGTGCTTTTATTCCTACCTCTTTTCTTGCTTTCTCAACTTTGTTCATCCTTTTTCTTTTTCCCCTCTCCTGGAAGTCACACACTCTTATTTCTAATGATGTCTTTAAATTTTTTAACAATTTCTCAAACTTATATTTTCTAAACCAGATGAGCAGACCTGCTGCCATTTCAGGGGGAGGGGAGAGGGCTGCAGGGGGGAGGGGAGAGGACTGCGGGGATTTTGCTGACTCCTGTATTCGGGGGAGGGGAGAGGGCTGCAGTGATTTTGCTGACTCCTGTATTCGGCAATAATGACTGAAGAATCCAACTACTAAAAATCTATTAGGGAAAAAGTACTCAGAAATGTAGGCATTTATCACAGTAACATTTGCTATAGGAGAAAAATAGCAGCAACTTGATGTATAATAAAGGAATGAATTACGTTAATTCGTGCAACTGCATATTATGTAGTCATTAAAATCACATTTTTGAAGAATTTTAATGATATGAGAAAATGCTTATAACGAAAGCGTAACACGAAATCCCAAGCCAGTCTCTTTCCGTCTCTTTTGGCTGCAGCAGGAAGGAAATAGATGCCGCACCACAATGGGAGGTCTGAGAGGCCACGTAGGAAGCTCTGCGAGCAGCAGAGAAGGACAGATTACCCAGAGTGGCAGACACACCCCTTAGAAGGGCTGGTACCGACCACAACCGGTGTCGGGGAGGATGTGGAGATACGAGAACCATTGACCTGCCAGTGGAAATGTGAGCTGGAAAAGGTGCTTTGGAAAATCGTTTGTCATGATCTATTAGAGGGAAGGGTGCACACACCCTGCGGCTCTGCAATTCCACTTTTAGGGGAAAGAAAACCACAGAACCAGAAGCACCTGTCCACGTCCAGCGAGAGACAGGCACACAGATACTCAGAGAGGCACTGTTTATAAGGACCCCAAACTGGACACAATCCATCCATCAGGAGTAAAAGGGACAAACTGCCATCTATTCATGTGACAGAAAACCATGCAGAAATGGGAAAGAGGAAACTACGCTTACTACTACACAGTTATTCCCACAAACAGAAACCTGAGCAAGAGAGCTGTTCCCAAGAGTACACATTGTATAACTGCATTCATAGAATAAAGCGTACAGATAAGCAGAACTAAAGGGCACTTTGGAAGTGAGCCATGTGCCACGCCTGGGAAAGGGGAGCACACAGGGAGATCCAGTGTGGATCATGTTCTATTTCTTGAGCAGGGTTGTGGCTATGTGGTGTATTAGTCCACTCCCACACTGCTAAGAAAGATATACCTGCGGCTGGGCGATGTATAAAGCAGAGAAGTTTAATGGACTCACAGTTCCACGTGGCTGGGGAGGCCTCACAAACCACAGCGGAAGGCAAGGAGGCACATCATCAACTCTTACATAGGCGGCGGCAGGAGAGAACGGGAGGCAAGCGAAAGGAGTTTCCCTTATAAAACAATCAGATCTTTCGAGACTCATTCACTACCATGAGAACGGTATGGGGGAAACCGCCCCCATGATTCAATCGCCTCCCACCAGGTCCCTCCCACAATGTGGGAATTATGGGAGCTACAACTCAAAATGAGAACTGGGCGGGGACACAGCCAAACTGTATCACGTGGGGTGTCTGCTTTGTGATAATTATCCGAGAGCTAGGTTTGCGTTGTGGCCACCTCTGTTAGTGTTATACTTCACAGTTTAAATGTAAAAACAGCCACAGTGAAAAATCTGCAAAATATTCAGAAAAAAATACAGACTAAAAGAGAGAGGGTACTTGTTTTCCATCGCTGCGTAACAGAGGATCACAGACACAGCCCACGGTCACGCAGCTAGCACTGGTGGAGGCAGATGGCTGGTGAATGTGTTTCCATTTCCGTAACTACTGGTGATGTGAACATGTCACTGGTCACGGGCATCACTTTTGTGAGCTGCCCATTTTCTGCACTGTGCCCATTTTTGTCAATTCCCAGGAACTCCGTGTGCTAAAGAATCTGAATCTGCCTTGACAAGCAAGACCCTGTCTCAAAAAAAAAAAAGAACCAGCCTCATCAACAAAATGGACCCCAGTTGGGTCACTCACACAGGACAAGCTAAGTGGCTGCACGCGCTCCTGTGTGGAGGTCATCCTGTGCTGGGGACACTCTACGGCATGGAGCTGCAGGCTGGGTGCAGAAAGGCCTCACAGCTGAGTGGGGTCGACCCCAATAGCCCAAAATCCTGCAGGACAAAGTGCAGTGCTGGAGGGAAGCCAAGGGGCTGGGGCTGAAAAAGGAGAAGAATGGTGGGCAGGGGCCAGGGAGGCCCACACCCTCAGGGGTCTGAGTCTCTGGCAAACTCCATAGCACTGCGTCCCTGAGAGCAGATCCCTGGGGCCACAGGGTCAGCAAGGAGCCTCCCGCTCTGGAGGATGGCACAGAGGCTGGGCGCACCGCACTCTGCAGCCTGTTGCCATGGCCCCATCAGAGTCGGTCTGCTCAAACACAGGCAACGTTCCTCCCGTTTCCAACCATCAGTGACGCTGCACAGGAGCGTGCCACCTACTAGTTCTTCCAAAAGCACAAACCACCCAGACTCCCCGTCTCCTACTCCCCAGGATCCCAACGCTCCCCGACGCGTCTGACCTTGCAAGGGCACCACAGTGGTGCCGACAGGCCGAGCCTCTCCCAGGGACCGGGCTGGGTGAGGTGCATGGGACAGGAACCACCACAGATCAGGGACTGATCTCAGGGCCCCTGGGCTCAGGCCACCAGCAAGAACAGGGTGTGCACAGGCTGCGAAGACCCCAAGTTGGGCCTGACGAGCCAACTGCTGAGCTGCAAACTCCAGGGAACCATGAAGGCAAATGGCAGCTGCTGAGCTGTGAGCTGGAGTCAGGAGCCGAACACCTGCTGGCTGCTGGGTTCAGCCAGTCTCTATCCTGCAGCCACAGCCAGGCATCAGTGATGTCAACCCACACCTCAGGCCACCGGGCCCAGGAAGGCAGCCCTGCCTGGCTCAGCTCCACACTGGGAAAGACAGGAGAAGGGGCTCCTCCCACTCTGTGGAGCCACCAGTGCACCCGTGGGGACAGGAACAAACCCCACACCCAGCCAGTTGACAGCACAAGGCAGTGGAAAGCCATGTGCTGCTGAGGAGGATCCCCAGGGTGGGGCACCCAGGGGGGTGTGGGGCACCCAAGGGCGGGGCACTCAGGTGGGGATACCCAGAGGGGTGCGGGGCACCTGGAAAGCTGCCCTGAGAAACTGAGGCTCAAAGGGCCTTGTTTCAGTAACACAGGGCAAGGAGGGTGTTTCAGTGTGTCAGTGGGGGCGAGGGAAGCGCATTCCAAGAGAGGGAGGGGTAGAGCCAGACCCTGGTCCTACCCAGCACAGCAGGTGCTTGACCAGATGTGGCCTGAGGGGAGGTCCCTCATGCAGGAGCCTGGGAGAGGCCAGCCTGGACTCCCCACTCCTGTGTTCCAGCCAGTGCAGAGCTGGGCTTCAGGGGTCAGATCCATGTCTGAGTCCTGCCCAGCCCGGGCAAGCGGCATCCCGGCACCACCTGTGCAGCTGCCTCCCCATCTCCCCGAGAGGTCCTGCAGGCAGCCACGAGGCCACGGGTGCCGCTGTGCCCATGCCAGGCCTGGTGCGTGGCAATGACACTGAGCTCAGACCCGTTGGCAGGGCTAGGCCAGGGTGCCGCTGTCCGCGACCGGCCAGTTCTCGAATCACAGGCCAAGGCTTCGGCTTTGTCACTGATCTTTATTCGGTGTTTTTAGCACATCACATCCAGACACACACCCGGAACATTCCAGATGGATCTGCTCAGACTCAAGGCCACGGCCAACACCCCTCACATTCGGTCTTGGTGTATACATACATGTGGAAATGCACACAGGGCTGAGCTCCATGGAGCTTCCTGTTTAAAAAACCACCTCAGGAAGCAGGTCCGGTGTGTCCCCAACCTTCTGGCCACACAGAGTGATCTGAGCTACAGAAGGGGCTGCTCCCAGGGCTGATCTCAGCTGAGCAACGTGGGGCTCCCTCCACATGGCCATGGGGCAGCTCTTCCTGTGATGGAGTCCCCTCCCCGTCTAGAAAAGGAGGCGGCAGGAGGAGGCGGTGTGGCGGTCTGGGGAACCCCTGACCCTGGGGCAGGTACAGGGAAGGCAGGGGCAAGGTGTGCCCAAATCTGGTCCGACGCAAGCCGGTCCCTTTGCTAGTTTGGGAGCATCTGACATTTGCACAGCACTTTGTGCTAATTTCCATTCTGTGTGTAATGACCGTGGATTTTTAAAATAGAAGCAGGAATACACACATCAGTTATGCCTGTATGTCCCACAGTCTCTGGCAGTGTCCCAAGGCCTGGGAGGGAACACAGCTGCTCCTGAGGGACAGAGGAGAGTCTGAGAAGCGGGTCACCAGCAGGTCGCTGAGGACATGAGCCTGTCCTGGGCTCAGGAATCAGAGAGGCTGTGGCTGTGGCCCTGCCCACATTCCAGGTGCCATGAGGCCTGTGACACACCCAAGGGAATGCTGGGGAGCCAGTCCTGAAGCCCCTGGGGCCACAGACACAGCCCCATCAGGGTCCTGGGCAGGGGCCTGGTCTGGGCCCTTCCACACTTGAAGCCCAACGAACCAGTACACGGCAGAACCAGTCCACAGCGGGAACCAGTCCACAGCGGAAACGAGTCCACAGTGGAAACCAGTCCACCGTGGGAATCAATCCACAGCGGAAACGAGTCCACAGTGGGAACCAGTCCACCGCGGGAATCAGTCCACAGTGGAAACGAGTCCACAGTGGGAACCAGTCCACAGCGGGAACGAGTCCACAGTGGAACCAGTCCACAGTGGGAACCAGTCCAGGGCTGAACTGGTATATAGTGGGAACCAGTCCACAGCAGAGCTAGTCCACGGCAGAACTGGTCCATGGCAGAACTGGTCCATGGCGGGAACCGGTCCACAAAGAAACTGGTCCATGGTGGGAACCAGTGCACAGTGGAAACTGTCCCACCTCCCCCACACCTAGCAGATCTGGACAAGGACAGTGAGTCCCGGGGAGCCTCCAAAAGCTCATTCCACTTCCAAGCCAGGCTGCGGTGGGAAGAGCGCTGTGGTTCAGGGCTCTGACAACAGGGCCTCGAACCCCTGCCCGTCTACCAGCCCGCCATGGCCAGACACCCTGTGCAGGCCTCCAGGGGCTCTGTCTGAAGCCAGCAGTTAACTGCATGGCAGGGCCACTTGGCCTTGGACCTCAGGGAGGTGGGGGATTCTCTTGTGTAAAAGAGGTTTGAGGTGAAAAGTAAGGCGATGGCGAGAGGCCTCCCTGCGCTCCCAGCCTTTGGTCCCGTGGCCTCCCTGCGCTCCCAGCCTTCGGTCCCGTGGCCTCCCTGCGCTCCCAGCCTTCGGTCCCGTGGCCTCCCAAGTGCTCAGCGGGCTCACAGCGCCGACTCCCACCCTCAGCTTCCTAGTCATGTTTAAACCAAGCAAGCGGGAAAACACAGAGAGAAGGGGCCGGCAGTGGCGAAACCCGGTTGGCTGTGAGACGGTCTCACAGGAGAGATCCCAGGTCAGCGCAATGTCTCCATCTATATTTTGCCTATATTTTATTCTTTCACTCAACAGAATGGAAGTTTTTCATTTCAGAGTAGGTAGAGATGGCCACCACCTCGTTCCGGCCCTGGCGTCCAGACAGCAGGCCTCCCGAGAGGGTCCGCCTCCCAGGCCGCCCCAGACTGGGGGGTACAGGAGGCAGTCATTTGGCAAGGACACTCCAGGGTGAGGGCGAGGGGACCCTGACCTGCCTCTGGCCACCGAAGCCGGGACCCTCCCCTGGCTTTCTTTGGTATCTCAGAAAACAGAGGCTGTCCCTGTCCTTGTCAGCCCTGGACCAAGTCTGGGGCCCATCTTCACCAGCACCCCTGGAGGGTGGGGCCACACCACAAGGCTGTTTGGCAGCCCGGAACCAGCTCACAGGGGCCTCCCACCGGCCAGGCAGGTGGGGCGCCCACCCGGAGCAGGGAGGCCAGCTGCAAGGGGACCCAGGCTCATTTCTTGTAGTGATTGGGGGCGTCCGCGAAGGCAAACTTGAGGCGGTAGGCCTCGGCCAGCAATAGGCTGATGTCCTCATCATCCCAGTGGGCTGTGGGCAGGTTCTGGAGGAAGAGCAGCAGCTCCTGGGGGAAAAGAGACAAGCCCAGGTCAGAGGAGGTGACCTACAGTGAGGGCAGGGTGGCCCAGGAAAACTTGCCCACCAGCAGCTGCTCCCTGCTCAACCACAGCAGCGTCCAGACCTCGCCCCACAGCCCCTGCCCCATCCCAGCAGCCAGGCAGGAAGTCCACTGTGCAGCTGCAGGTCTGAGACAGTGTGGCAGGGGCCACCCAGCACTTCCTTTAACTGAATCTCCGGCTGCTCATGGGGAGACCCAGTTCTCAGGGGCCTGCCGCAGCTTTGCAGGCCCCGCCCAGGAGCTTCCCACTCCCCGAAGCCTCTATCAGCCCAGGAAGCACCACACCACCACACCTTAGTGGCACTGCCACTAAGCACAGATTTCTGTGCATCAAGAGGCCCCTCTGGGCACCAGCACAGTCAGCAGCTAAAGCACACATGTGGAGACCACAGAATAGGCCCTCCCAGGGAGCCCAGGAACACACAAAGCCCTGCCTGGCCCCTCCTCCATGCCCGCCTCATGCCAGTGGGTGGGGATGCGGGGCTCCACCAAACCTGGTTTCAAGTCTGGGTCCAGTCTGGTGCCCTAGGACAAGGACTCCATCCCGAGGCCCAGCTCCCTCCTCTGCGAGATGGGGTCACCGTTGCCAGCCTGTCAGGGCTGCTGGGCAGACTGGGAAAATGCGCGTAAGACCAGCAGCACAGCCAGCATAGGGTAGGGGGCACTGGGTGCTCACATGCCGAGCTCACTGGGCATGCTGGGCGGACACACCGGGCTCACTGGGTGGCACCTCTGGCCTGCAGCTGGACCATGTCTCAGCTTAGGTGGGCTGTGGGGTCACTGAGTCCCACCCCCAAAAGACACATGGGGGACAGTCTCCAGAGCAGTGTGCCCACCCAGTGAGTCCAGTGCTCCTGTCCAGCTCACGGTCTGGAAGCCAGGATGCGGACGCTGAGGAGATGGAGGCTGACCTACCTCCACTGAGGCCGGGGCTGGGAAGGACAAGCAAAGAGCCTGGGGGGACCCCCACGACCATCTTCTCTGACAGCCCCTCCCCCCGTGAACACACCCACATCCAGAGCAGCTGGTGGCCCACCAAGGACGGGCAGAACACACAGGCACCTGGCAGCAGTAGGGATGAATGAGGGTGGAGTGGCCAGGACAGCCTCCCGGGGTAGGGTTCTCACAAGAGAAACAGGACCGCCAGGTCAGCCCTAGCGGAAGCCCAGGCTCCGTCATGAAGCCAGGGAGACTCCTTGAGGGAGGGGTCTACTGCCCTGATGGCCCTGAGGGCTTTGGTCCTCGGGAATTTGCCCCCAGGAGCCACCTGCAGGCTCCCCTACTTCTACCTCTCATCTCAAACAGAAGCCAGATCCAGGAAGTCAGACAGGTGGCTGGGGGGCCCCGAGGGTGCTGAACTGACTCTCCCCAGCTCCTAACAGGAGACAAGACACAGGGAGGACCACAAGCTCAGGCTGCCCATATTGCCAGCCTTGAGAAAACACAGCCCAGCAAGACTGTCACGGAGGGGAATGATGGGCAGCTGGGCTCTGCCGTTCACATCCTGTCTCCCTGTCCACCTGGTCCTGAGCAGAGGGCCTGGTTCTCCAAGCCACACTCCCTTCATCTGCGGATAAGGACGGCAAGCTCTCCATAGGGGCAAAGACAGGATGGGCCGAGCTGCACAGACACAGAGCATGGACAGATGGCCTGGGCTCTCATCCTGGCTGTGCGGGAGCTGGGGTCCACAAGTTACCAGCCCCGCCCTCACTGACACATGCCCCTTAGCCATCCGAGAGTCACACTCTCCGTCCCGCATCAGGAGGGTTACACACCAGGACCGTCCCCTCTCCATTCCCCACCAGGAGTGTTACACAGCAGGACCATCCCC